CTTACCTGAACTAAAGGGTGCTCAGCAACTCTGACCTTGAGTGAAGGAAACAGCATAAGACGAAACTAGCCTCTCTGAGTGTAGGTGACAGTTGTACAATTGGTGTAGACTGTAGGGCCACCAGAAGTGTGACCAGGATTTACCCCCTACTGTATGTACTGACTTTTTGGAACCCTATGTCTTTGGAAGGATACTCTGCTTAGCCTGGGTATAGTGAGGAGGGCCTTGGTCCTCCTTCAAAGCAATGGGTTAGACTTTGTTGACTTCCCATGGGAAGCCTTACTCTTGCTGAGGAGTAGATGATAAGTGGTATGGGGGAGAAGGAGGAGGAATTGGGAAGAGGAAAAGGCAGGAGAACAGGGATTGATATGCAAAATGAGCAAAAAATAATAATTATTTATTTACTTAAAAAAAGAATTTGTGATGAACAACAAATTTTACCAACGGAATCATTCACTCCCTTTCCAAGAGACTTTATAATTGGGAAATAAAGAATATTCAAACTGCTTTCAAATGTAATCATGCATGCGTGTATTAGTACTTATTAAAATATAAAACACTGCAATTCTCAAAGTTTTAAGTGACAGTAATCCATAGTTACAAACTATGAACCCAGCACTACTCATGTTTAAACAGAGACAAATTTGATTTTGTGTCACTTTGTTGATGAGTAGAGTAATAAATGAGTATCATGTGATAGAAGGAAAGAGTCACCTACTGACTAAAATGGAGGATATTAGAAAAGACATGCATGTGTCAATACAAGCATCCCATGCATTTTCCAAACATTTGTTAGTATTTGCAGTCAGAAAGTAAACACAGAGGAGTGCTAGTGCATTCTGCACTCTTTCTCCTTTTTATATGATGGATTTTACCTCCTGATCTGGTGCTATTCACATTTAAGTTGGGTTTTCCCATTTCAATCAACCAATTCTACAAAACTTCTTATAGAAATACCCATTTCATTTTTCTCAGATAATGCTATCAAAATGTCCATTCGTGTTAACCATTACACTTCTATGGTGGTTTGAGTGAGAACAGTCCTATAGGCTCATATTTGTTTCCCAGTTTTGTTGTGTTTGGGAAGGATTAGCAAGTGTGGTCTTCTTGGATGATACAAGTCACTTGGAGTAGGCCTTGAGAACTCAAAAGAATGACGCCATTCATAGTGATTTCTCTGCTCCCTACTTGTGCAACAAGATGGCAGCGTTTCACTTTTCCAGCTCTGACACCATAATTGCAAACATCTGAAATCATAAGCCTATACTATTTTTTAAATAAGTTTCTTTGGACATGGTGTTTGATCAAGGGAAAACAAAAATAAATACCCATGCCTGTAGATTTCCGTTACAATTACCACACACTTTATGGTATAACTGGTTTTGACAATACAGAGAAATTAAGATAAATTAGAACTGATGTTGATTATTGTGTGATTTTTACTTGGTAAGTGATAAATAACTGAAGATATTCATAACTCTGATATTTCTGACTATAAGGGTCTGCTGTGGTTTTTTATGCAATTGCTATGGCATAGTGAACCAAAGATGAACTTAATATGGAAGAAAATATTCAAGTTTCTGTATTTAACATTCTAATACTCTAGGGGTATTATAAAGCAGAAAGTAGAATGAATGCGAAGGCCAGAATAATGGATAGAATGATGCACAGTCTTTGCCTTTAGTTTTAGCATGATCATTTCCATTTTATATGCTAGAAACTTTAAGTATGAGAATTACGTGGGATACAAAATTTCTTGGCATTCTGTTGTAGAGAGTCTTACATGGTTCACAAAGTTTATATGTACGCTTGATATGCAAAATAAGCCCTAAATAAATGGAGGAGTGTGGAGGAGACTATGTTCAAAATACAATAAGAAGTAATGTAAACCCTTGTTGAAATACTTAATAGAACTAAAATATTCAAAAGTTATCTGAAGTTTTCTGCCACCTTTTTTTCCCTTAATGGCATCACACTAAAACTTAATGATTCAGTTCTTCATAATTATCAGTAAACTTTAAATTACTATGTAGGATTTTCTACAAGAGTATATTAAAATTTGACTGAATACAACCTAAGCATGTGTATCTTGGATTTTTACTGCAACAGCATTTGCATTTGAGCAATGAAAATAATCAACTTAATTTGCCCTCCTAGAGAGCATAGAAGTGACTTTGATTAGCCCATTGAAAGCCTGTGTTGTTTCCCTTGAGTTTGGATGCAGGGGGTCGAATTGACAACATGATGTGACCCAGCAGGGATTCGGGGTGTCAAGGATAAAGCCGACTACATTAAAGACAAAAGAGAAGGCCATCAACTTGGAATTAAAAAAAAATGTTCTTTATGAATATGCTGTCTTCTGAAAGGAATTTATGTCTGTTATGGTGCTTCCATTGTTAACGCATAGGTTTTCTTCTTTTTTGTTCATCCCAGACCTTTTTGGAAATGACTGTTTAAAAGATCTAAGATCTAAAAACAGTGGCCAGTGAACAATGTGGGGGCTGTAACTCTTTCTACTATTAACTGGAATTTCCCATGTTTCATGGAATGTCAGGAAAATTATTCAAAACATTCTTATTTAAATATTACACATTAATTTCTTACAACTAAAAATGTACTTCAACTGTCTAAATGTCATCATAGAAAGAGTAGTAGTACAAATTATAAACTGTTTCAAAATAGCTTAATTTAACCCAGCTAAAAATTTAGTTGTCTGTAAGATATACAAAGGTATCAAGTACAAATAAAAGAAAATTCCACAGCACTAACATTCAATACATTTTGGAATCTATGCAAAGATTGAGGAAACTTAGACATCAATGAGAATATTCAGTTTATGTAATCAATCTGACCTAAATTAATTTCCTGTTGCTGTGAAAAAAATACTTTACAACGTCAAATTAGGAAAGGACATTTTTAATATTATAATTAAACGTGTTGTGGTTTTCATGTAAACTGAAAAAAAACCCAAAGACTTAGACTTAATTCAAATTTAATTTTTCTAGTCTCAGAACCAAACAACATGTCATCTGAAGGGAACGGTTAGATTAAAAAACAAACAAACAAAAAAACCAGAAAAAAGAAAAGAAAACAGGGCAAATGAGCTGTAAATCTTAGCAACTACACTGTGGAACAAAAAAAAGAATAGGAAAAATTCTCAAAATTTTTCATTGTTTCTCCCTTTACAGTGAATTATATCTATAACATGAATAATAAGAACTCAGATATAAGGGTTGAATATGAGAATCAGATAAGAACAGTAAGCCACTAGGGAGACTTTTAACTTTTTCAACCATCAGACCAAAGGGGTGATTCTCAGACTCCACATTGCAGTGAGTTTCTGTCCCTTCCCTTTTATATTCCTCTCTTCACCCAGCCGTATTGCTTCTGTCTCTACCACCCTAGTGTGGGAATAAAAGGTGTGTGACTCCCAAACGCTGGAATTAAAGGTGTGAGCCATCACCACCTGGATCTGATTCTAGATCCATCTTGTTTGTATAGCCCAGAATGACCTTGAAGTCACAGAGATCCACCTGTCTTTGCCTCCCAAATCTAGGGGTTAAAGGTGGGTGTCAACATTGTATGTCCTTTAGTGGCTTAGCTTTGGATGCTGATTCCCAGGCAAGTTTTATTTAAAATACTAATAAAATATTACTACATTTCCTATTTTTGTTTAAAATATAAAAGAAAGTCATAACTAATATAAGAAAACTATATACAATAAGTACAATAACTATATACAATATCTACAGGCAATAAGTACATCAAAAATATCTAGTCCATTTGCATTTGACAAATTCAGAGAAAATACTCCATTTTCTATCCTGTTTTAGTGAGTTTAAAGACTTGTATCTAATTTACTTTCTATTATAACTTGATTTATGTGTCTTGTAAACAGAGACAACTATAACTCTCTATTTGTCAAGCCCCTCCAAAACATAAGAAGGAAATAATATTAACTGAGAAAGCAGGAAGTACAAGTAAGTGACTTCCAAAATGTAAGAATGACAGAAATAGCTGGCTATCTGGAAAGTCAATAGTTACCCAATTTTCCTTTGCAACATTGGGACATCTGTTTTCAGCCTACAGACTTAGCATATCTGAGAGACTTTTCTGTGTAGCATGATACTCTGAAGGGCTATCTCTCCTTGTGTTGACAATAACTTTTCTTGGTCCTACTTGTCCTATTAGGGCAGCATGCTGTTAATAGTAAAGACATGGCAGTTTCTTGCCTACTTTTGTGCTTATTTTTCACAAAGAAAATAAACTCCATGCATAATTTCTTTGATGTCCATCATCTTCTCTGAAGTAGATTGATACTGCAAGGAGCAGACATGTCTCATTGTCATTAAAAGATCCTATGTTAGTAAATAATGTTAAACGTTCTGTAGACTTCTAAAATGTTTAAAGATGACCTATCTCTTGAGAATAAATATATCTTTGTTTGATCTTGAAAATACACTGTGACTACAAGTTTGATTATGAAAGGTAATTAACTACTAACTATTAACTATTATTTCCTTATTTTCCTAAACAGTTGGTAATAATAATTTTCAAGGACTAGAAACTGCATTATATTGTTAAATGTGTTATATAGGTACAATAACTTGAATAATATTAGAAACACATACTCAGTATGTATTAACAACACTAATCTCAAGTTTGTATCAATATACAAAATTTGTGTACAATATACAAAGGTTGAATCCAATGGAAATATTTAGAACTAGTAATTGATTTTTAAACGTAGATTCGATAATCTATCATTTTATCACGTCATATCTACATCCTCCTTTTGTTCTTCTCAGAGTAGATTCAATAATCTACCCTTTTATCCTATTATATCTGTATCCTCCATTTTTCTTTCAAAACAAGAACTCTGAATCTTATTTCCTTTGTTAAATTTTCCTCTTGAGTTCAACCAAAAACAACTTGTAAACAACCCCTTTAAACAATGATAGATATCCATGACGCATTCACCATCCAAAATCCCCATCTCACCTCTTTGAAATATGAATGTCATATTCTTTAATTTGCTTCCTGGGGAAGACAGTGTCTTTAGAGGATCCTGAAAAGAAAAAAACTGGGTTAGTTGTCAAATCCTGAGAGAGTTAGCTTTATTATTTGTTGTCCATTCTCTGCATAATAGGAAAGTGCAGGGTTTTTCTCAAGTCCTGCCTCGAATAGTCTGTGAAGCTATATCATCTCAGGGAGACACATCAAAATTGCTCTGAGCAATTTGAAATAAAAACCAGAGGTTTAGGTAGTGTTTTCCAGCTTAGTGGTGTTATCATAGTACTGGTGGACTGATCCATGTGGGGTCCCATTCTACCTTTGAAGGCCTCAAAGGTAACTGTGAGGTATGCCCATGGTTCACTACAGAATACTGATAGAGACTCAAATAGGAATAATGTAGAGAAACATAGATGAAACCTTTTGCTAGAATTAGTCAGTACTCTTTATGACTGTTAATATAATGACAAATTTTAGTATGTATATACATAAAATCTTATATATTTTATACATTAAGGAAAGCTCTTAGAGTCAATACAATACCAAAGGATGATGAGATTAGCAACAATGAAATAGATATCAAATATTTGTTTTTCTTCTGTTCCATATCAGGTGACTTTTCTGGAATGAGACTAGATTTTGGATTTCATGTTAATGAGCGTGATTGAGATTAGAGAAGGAAAGAGTCATGATCCTATTAAAAAGCTAGCTTTAATCTTAAATTGGACTGGGACTACATAAAAGAAAAAAATGTATTATAAGTCACTATAGCAGAAACTAACATTTTTGGAGATTTGCAAAGTTTTCTTTTGGAAATGTGGTATTCCAATAGTCCTTTGAACATCTTTTCTGCACGATTTGTCCTTTATCTTCAGATATCTCATTTGTCCAGTGAACTCCAGATTCCTTGGCAAGAAACATTTATTCTTCTGAAAAGACAAAAATCACAACCATTTTCTAACCCTAATTTTGGGGAGATTCTTATTTGGCAAGTTATATCTGATCAAACGGTTTTATAGGTTAATTTAGTTTAATAGATTATTTTAGAGGTTAACTTAGTTTTATAGGTTAATTTGGATTAAAAATCATGCTGCTTGATGAACTACTATCTCTTAATTGAGAAATATTTCTTGTTCAAATCAAATCTTTATCAGTTTTTGGTGTAGGAGAATTGCCTGTATTCTGTCAATCATATTTTAATAAAACGCTGATTGGTCAGGCAGGCAGTATAGGCGGGAAAGCCAGACAGGAAGTAATGGTGGAGCAAAGAGACTGGGAGTATTCTGGGAACCAGGAAGCTCTCCACCACTCCTGCGCAGACCACCGAAGAGGCAGCATGTAACTTGCCCAACTGAGAAAGGTACGGAGCCATGTGGCTAATGTAGATAAGGATAATGGGGTAACATAAGTTATAAGAACTAATAAGTAGCCTGACCTAATGGGCCAATCAGTTTATAACCTAATGTAGACTATGTGTGATTTTTTTGGGACTTGCCGGTTGTGGAGTACCGGCGGGAACAGATACCCCAACAAACCGACCTTTTGTGCTACAGATGGTGCCCATGACGCCCATGTGGATAACTGAATCCACAGAAAGCTTGAGAAAGCTTGGGAAAGAATAGAGTAAAGCATGCTTTCTTGGTAGCAACAATTTCTCGGTTATGCTCTGCTTGCTAGAGGCAAGCAAGAGCTCTCGTCTAATAGAGGCTTCCTGACTCAGCTTTTGTTGGAAAACCTTGCAGCTCTTTTAAGAGGTCCTGCCATGAAACACGTAAACTGTGTTGAGGAAAAGCCAAATGCATGCTTTTCGGTTTTCAGACGTAGCAGGAAAAAAGCTGTTCTGTTTTAAAATGCCAGCTTTCTGGGCCATCCTGCCAGGGCAAACTCTGACTCTTTGAGGCAGGCAGTCCGACTGAGTGTGGTCTGTGAGCAGAATGCTGCAGCTTGCTTGCTGGCAAGGACCTTGAAACGCCATAGAGTTGTGGCAAGAAAAATGTTTGCAGCAGGTACCTCGGCCATGAGGCTGGAAAGCTAAGGAATGGGCTGGATCTAGCCATCAAAGCCACGGCTTTTATCCTCTCCTTAAAGACTCACGTAGTCAGAAAATAAAGAGAGATATACAGTAAAGAGAGATTCAAAGAGGAAGAAAACCTCTAAATGGTTTACAGTGTGTTAAAAATATATGCAGGCTAAAGGTTAAAGTCATTAAAAATAAAAAAGAAAGAAAGGGAGAAATAGGGTGTGGTGGTACACACCTTTAATCCCAATGCCTGGGAGGCAGAGGCATAGTGACCTCTGTGACTTTAAGGGGAAGAGGTAGATTGACCTCTGTGACTTCAAGGTGTGGTAGCACACACCTTTAATCCCAATGCCTGGGAGGCAGAGACAGACAGATCTCTGTGAGTTCAAGGTGTGATAGCAAACACCTTTGATCCTAGCACTGGGGAAACAGAGACACGTGGTTCTCTGTGAGTTAACTCTGTAATTCTGTAGTTTTTCCCCCCACTATCCAATGTATCTCTGTAGCTGTTTTTTTCCTTTCTCATTAGCATTTAGAAAATTCAAAGTTCATGAAGAATTATTCAGTCTATTATTGGTGGACTTTTTATTTCTTTCTGTTTATTCAATGTGTCCAATAGAGTATGACTTGATCTTTCTATAACTGCCTGCCCTGACGCGTTGTGTGGTATAATTTTAATATGCTCTATATAATAATAAGAAAAAAACTGTTTCCTTTTTATAGAGACATATTGTCTGTCTTTATTTGTGCAGGTATAACCATGATGGTCATAAATTCTAGCAAATATATGGTTACTGAATAAGGCTTTTCCAAAGTCAAAGCAGTTATGCATTGAAAACTTGAATAGGAATCAATGGCATGGTATATATATTTTAGTTATCCAAATCCTACAAAATCGAACACATCCATTTGCATATTTCATTCCTTTAATTACTCTTTGGCTTACCTCTTACAGGTAGTAGTGTGTGGTTGTGAAAAGAACAAGTAAGACATTTCCTTATAATTTTCCTGACTTGTTACCATATTACCATATGACAAAAGTCTTTTCATTAACTTTTGCTATTTATAGAACTTTTTGATTGTTTTTATTTTTGAGCTATATATTTTTCTTCAGTTCCCTCCCTTCATCCCCCTCCCCTTTACCTTGCACAATGAGCCCCATGCACCCAGTTTACTCAGGAGATCCTTTCTTTTTCTAATTCACATGTAGATTACACCCATGTATGTCTCTCTTAGGGTCCTTTTTGTTGTCTAGGGTCTCTGGGGCTGTGAATTGTAGGCTGTTTTTCTTAAGGTCTGAAAGTCACTTATGAATGAGTACATAATATATTTGTCCTTTTTGGGCCTGGGTCACTTCACTCAATATGGTGTTTTCTAGACCCATGCATTTGTCTGAAAATTTTAAGATGTCATTATTCTTTTCCACTTTGTAGTATTTAGTTGTGTAAATACACCACATCTTCTTTATCCATATTTGGTCAAGGAGCATTTAGATTGTTTATAGATTCTCACTATGACAAATAATGCTGTTATGAACGTAATTGAGCACATGTCTTTCTGGTAGGTCTGAGCGTCCTTGGGGTATATACCCAAAAGTGGTATTGATAAGTCTTGAGAGAGGTTATTTCCTAATTTTCTGAGAAATCACCATACTGATTTCCAAAATCACTGTATCATTTTGCACTACCATCAACAATAAAGGAATGTTCTGTTTACTCCACATCCTCTCCAGTATAAGTTGTCATCAGAGTTTTTGATCTTGGTCATTCTTACAGGTGTAAGACAGAATCTCAGAGTTGTTTTGATCTGCATTTCTCTGATGACTAAGGATGCTGAGCATTTCTTTAAGTATGTTTCAGTCATTTTAGATTCATCTGTTGAGAGTTCTCTGTTTAAGTCTATACACCTTTTTTTTGGAATATTTTTTCTTTTGGTGACCAGGTTCATTTCTGTATTTTGAAGATCAGCACTCTGTCTGATGTGGGGTTAGTGAAGATATTTTTTTATTCTGTAGGCTGTCTTTTTTTTTCTGTTTGACCGTGTCCTTTGCTTTACAAAAACTTCTCAGTTTCAGAAGGGCCTATTTATTAATTGTTTCTCTCATTGTCTGTGCAACTAGAGTTATATTTAGTAGGTGGTCTTCTGTGCCAATGCATTCAAGTGTGCTTTTTATTATCTCTTCTCTGAGGTTGAGTGTGTTTGGTTTTATGTAGAAGTCTTTGATCAATTTGGACTTGAGTTTTAGGCACAGCAAAAGATATGGATCTATTTCATTGTTATACTTGTTGATATCCAGTTATACCAGCACCATCTGTTGAATATGCTTTCTTTATTCCATTTTCCATTTCTTGCTTCTTTGTCAAAAATCAGGGGTTCATAGTGTATGTGTGTGGATTGATATCTGAGTCTTTGATTAGATTTCATTGTCCTTCCTGTTTGTTTTTATACCATTATTAGGCTGTTTTTATTACTGTTGTTCTATATAGACTTCATCCCAGAAATACAGGGATGGTTCAACATATGAAAATCTGTCAATGTAATTCACAATATACACAAACTAAAACAAACAAATAAACCAAAACATGATCATTTCAATATTTCCTGTAAATATTTTCAACAAAATACAACTCCCCTTCATGATAAAGGTCTTAGAGAAAGCAGGGATACAGGAACATACCTAAATATTATGAAACAATATACAGCAAGTCAATAGTCAATATCAAACTAAATGGAGAAAAATTCAAAGTCAACTCACTGAAATCGAGAAATAGACATGTTTGTCCTCCAGTCTCTCCATATCTAGTCAATATGTTTTTCGACATTCTAGGCTAGAGAATAAGACAACAAAAGGAGATAAAGAGGATACAGATTAGAAAAGAAGTCAAATTCTCACTATTTGCTCATGATATAATAGTTTACATCAGTGACCCCATAAATTCTACAAAGGAACTTCTACAACTCATAATCACCTTCAGTAATGTAGCAGGATACAAGATTAACTTGGAAAAATTATAAATAATCCAGAAAGGGGAGGTTTTCTGAATGGATTATGCTTAGAAGCATTATTTTTTCTAGGAACATTCTATGTACAATCCATTTTTAGGTGACTTTGTTTCCACAATTGAAACACTTGATTTTTTTTTTGTTAAAAATCTGGAAATTACCTCCCCAATCCAAGTATCATCATGGTAATAGGATTTAAAATTGATTGTATGCTAGATCCAATCATCCAAGGGTGCTGATCTTAGCTTTAATGGTCTAACTATCATTTTACATTGAGAATTGGCTTCTGAATTGTTATCATTTTATTTGTTACTGATATAAATCTTGTAAGAAAGCCATGACGTTCTCTTTTAATTTCTGTATGACTTGAGTAAATTATTCAGTCTTTCCTGCATCTTCAATTCTGGCCCAAGAATTCATAGGTGCTGTGTGGCATACAACCAAGATGTGATAGAAAGGATTAACTTTCTATGATAGCATAATCTCCTTATCCAAGAACTTGATCTTGAAGATTTCTATACCTCTAGCATTACTCTGTTTTTTCCATAGTTTTATCCTCTTCTCTGAACCAGTTACTCCATTGTAATTGTTGATCAAGCCTAAAACAACTTTAACCAATTCTATCCAGTCTTTTGATATAATTCTGATAATATTACGGAATGAACAGGAATTTAACATTTGCTCAAGTGGGATATCCTTCTGTATGTGTGTTACTTTTATAGGTGAATGAATAAAGTGACTTTGGACTATACCAAGGAAAAATAGAGTAAGGTGGTAATTCCAAGCAGATAGAGGAGGTAAGAAGGTGTGTGCCAACACTCACTGGCCTCTAGTGACTTATCTTTGCATACTACTATTTAGGCAAGCTTTATTATTAAAATAAAAATAAAATATCACTGCACTATTTGTTTTGAAATTAAAATTAATCATCACACACTGCACCAGGAACACATGTTCAGTTTTAAAGCTGGACAAAAGTGAGTCCCTGTCTTCCCTGTTCCTCGAGGCCAAAGCACAGGATGCAAGAAATGTTTTTTTATTTTTATTTTTTTTGAAAGTAATTTTATTAAATTATAAAAGTTTCCATTTACGCCCCTCTTCCCAACACCCTCCCACTCCCCCCCTCCCTCTCCTCCTCCCTCTTTGTCCCTAAGGGCAGTCAGGGTTTCCAGCCCTGTGGGAAGTTCAAGTTCCTCCCCCCTCCCTCCAGGTCCAGGAAGGTGAGTATCCGAAGAGACTGGATCCCAAAAATCCAGTATATGCAGAGGAAACTAGTCCCAGTGTCATTTTCAATGGCTTCTCAGAAAGACTTCGGGCCAGCCACATTCAGAGAATCCGGTCACATTCAGAGAATTTGGTTGGATCACGTGCTCGTTCAGTCGCAGTCCAACTGCCCTTGGTAAACTCTCATTAGATCCGACCCCTTGTATCAGTGGGTGATAGCATCCCTCGTAGTCCTTCGTCATTTTCTTCGTCCTTCTGCTCCTCATTTGGACCTTGGGGGTCTCAGTCCGGTGCTCCAATGTGGGTCTCCGTCTGTATCGCCATCCATCGCCAGATGAAGGATCTATGCAAGAAATGTTTACACTAACCAGCTTAGCTCCCTCTGCTCAATTCTGCCAGACAGAGGGAATTAGTTCAGAACCTTGTTTCTGTCTTGATATGGTAATTTCACCTGCTAAGAAGGGTCCTCACAGGTGCCCTGCATCTCCTCCTATCTGTCTCTCAGGGTTCCCAGCTCGGTACCCCCTGCTGAAAGCTCCTGCCACTTGGTGCCAGTGGCTCAACACCATGATCTCACACCTGGCTGGGAGGGGTTTTCGTTATTGGGGCCAAAGGGTATTTTAACCCCGGATTAAGCTAAATAAACGGGCATTCTCCTCCCTGAGAATGACTCGAACTCTGTATCTGTGTGTGCATCTATGTTTTAACCCCTAGGACATTAGAGCACGTGGGTGATGATGCAGACCCCGTGGCATGGAACGACCCCCACAGATGGAGGCCCTGCTGGAGTATGAAGAAGAAGCAGCCACAAGTTCCTGGGAAGGTAGGAATCCATAGGGGTGGCCCTCAAATAATAGGCTGGCCAGCTGTGTATGATAAGGGTGTATTGGATTTTGAAATGCAAGCGTCTCTGTTCTTGTTGAGAACCGGGAGGCCAGTTGCGGCCAATTGACAGTGCTTTTAGAAAAGTACCAACATTTTTAATGTAGACACTACACGGGAGTTCCTTAGGACAGTTTTCTTTTATTAGGTGGTAATCGCCTAATTTTTTTTTTATTAAAGCTCAGTCCCTGGCTTTTCTAGCATGGGGCTTTAGTTTTTACTGTAAAAAACAGACTGACGCAGGAACGCCTGGCGAAAATCCGTTCCCAAGGCAACAGGGCCCAGCGTAGCTGGCGACTAGCAAATAGAATTGCCGAGGGTCCATGAAAGTGCAGGCCTTGGGCTGAGAAAAGATTCTAAAAGTGTGTCTGTAAGTTCTATTAAGATTTTTTGAGAAACAAAAGAGCAGCTTCACAGAGCCTGTCTTTCATGGGGATTAAGAAAGCTCCCATGCATGTTTGGGTGCGGGTCACAGGACCGCACAGGGGCCCTCACCGCGGCCGAATCTCACAGGCTCAGATACAAATTAAAATTGCGCCCGATGCACTTAGAGCCATAGAGAGAGAGAGTTACAAACCGGACCCAAGGCGCGCGTGGAGCGCGGGATCGGGAAACTGGCTTGGTCGCGGGACACACAGGGCCCCCGGGGTGGGGCCACGTACTGAGCAGGGAGATGAGTATTCCCAAAACGCATGGCAGGGGAACTCACACGGGGAAGCGCGGGTGTTGCCACCTCAGCGGAGGAGCCGACAAAACAGCCATGGCACAGAGTCTGTTTCCAAGGCAATGGACTCGCGAACTAGAAAGCAGCCTACGGCAAGCAACAAGGTCCTAAGGCAAAACGCGGCCTCAAAACCCTGCAAGCTGGGCACCTGGGTGGAGGCCGGCAGATGGCATTGGGCTGGGCTGGGGCCATGCCTTTGTCTGACCATGTCCGCGCGGGACTCCAGAGGAATGCACGACTGCAGCTGGCAACTCAAGGAGTCCTGAAAACCCAGCGGCAAGGGCCAGGCCTTGGCAGTACAAAAGGATAGTTAAAGATCCACCCGCCAAAGCTCAGGAGGCAGTCTGCAGAGGGTCTGTGTCCTACCCCCTGCTGTGCAGCACTTCAGCTGAAGGGAAAAGGGCAGTTTTAGATTAAAACAGACTCTAGATAAACAGATTAAAGACGCTTTTTTCCATTTCACAATTTTGCTTCTTTGCCAAAAGACTGCTGCTTATAGACTGTGCCAGTTTACATTTCCACCAGTGGTGCAGGAGTTTCTCTTAAACATAAGTTGTGAGCAATATTTTTAATCTTGGTTATGTTACAGAGATAAGATAGAGTCTCAAAGTTGTTTTGATTTACATTTCTCCAATGGTTAGAAATGTCATATTTAAACATTTTTTTAAATGTCTTTCAGTCATTTTAAATTCATCTACTGAGAATTTTCAGTATAGGTTTATTGGATGTATTTTTATTTAATTGTTCTTTGGAGGACTAATTTCTAAAGTCCTTATGTTTTTTAAAATAAATTAATGACTGGTAAAGATTTTCCAATTCTATAGCCTGGTATGTCTTGTTGACTGTTCTTTGCTATACGGAAGCTTCTCAGTTCTAAAGATCCTATTAATTATTTCTCTAAATGTTGGTGGGAGATGATGTGCCCCCATAAAAGTGACAATTTGGATAATTCTATCCGGTTGTGTGAGTGCTCACGTACTGGATCAGATAATTATTTTCTGCCCCTGAAAAAGTTCCAGGCAGAGCTGGTTCTAGGAGATGCTTTAAGGTTGGCTATTCAGCCCAATGCAAAGGCCTGCTGCAGTGGCGCAGGCCAATAGGATTTACTCTTTGGAGCAGAGACCTACAGGTCTCTAAGTTCAAGACCAGCTGCATTAAATTTTAACCTGAGTTTTTTATTACTCTTAAGAATTAACTTGGGAAAAGAGTTTGTTTATGTCTCTCCTAGGAATCCAGTCCCTTTGGGTACTGCTACATGCTGTGCTGTGCTGTACATCTATCCAGAGGCCTGAGGACAAAGCCTCTGCTGTGGAACTGTCCAACCTGTCTGCTGCAGAGCTGGCAGATTCCTGAAAAGTGATCCAGTGCCTGCATTCATCCTCCCCCAGCTCCCTACACTTGATCTATCAGTCATTGCTGTATTGTTGTTGCTGTACAATTGCTGTACTACTGGGTTTCCCCTTATCCTGTCAGCTGTTTCTGCTAAGCACTGTGGGTACCTTCAAAGCAGGTTGCAAAATGCCATGGCTGTTCAAATTAAGCTAAATTTAAAATTGGAAACTGCAGTTTATCTTTACAAACTGGGTATGGGTTTTTGACCTCTGCTGGTCACAAAAAAGGCTTTTGCTGTTTTTTTCTCGGACCCCGGAATACAAAATTTACTAATTGGCTGTCATTTAGTCTGGCTAGTTATTCCAGGGGCTCCATTCACTGGTGCTGTAGCCCTACTCAAGGGGCTATATTCTGAGCAGACTTTTCAGGATTGTGCTAAGCGCAATCTCCTTTTGGAATGCTTATATACGCTGGAGTGTGACCTTCATGATCTCATGAAGCCAAAGTCAGGACTATGCACATCAAGTCCTTTTGGCATTCGCCTCAAAATATCTTTCAGTATAAATCTGGCAGAACTCAATGATATTGACTTGTGAGCCTATGACGGGTAAGGTCTCTGGCAGACTTTTCAAAACCTAAGACAGGATTGTGTTGAACCTGGACACCCTTCCAGAGATGGGTAAGGGGTCATGTCTGATGCCATGTGACCCAAGACAGGCCCTAGTCATCATATTTTATATAAAAGGAGGACATATGAGGCCCTGTCTTCCCTGTTCCTTGAGGCCAAAGCACAGGATGCAAGAAATGTTTACGCTAACCAGCTTAGCTCTCTCGACTCGATTCTGCCAGACAGAGGGGATTAGTTCAGAACCTTGTTTCTATCTTGATATGGTAATTTCACCTGCTAAGAAGGGTCCTCACAGGCGCCCTGAATCTCCTCCTATCTGTCTCTCAGGGTTCCCAGCTCAGTACCCCTTGTTGAAATCTCCTGCCACTTGGCGCCAGCAGCTCAACACTGTTATCTCACACCTGGCTGGGAGGGGTTTTTGTTATTGGGGCCAAAGGGTATTTTAACCCCGGATTAAGCTAAATAAATGGGCATTCTTCTCCCTGAGAATGACTCGAACTCTGTATCTGTGTGTGCATCTGTGATTTAACCCCTAGGACATTAGAGCTCGTGGGTGGTGGTGCAGACCCCGTGGCGTGGAACAATCCCCACAGACAAAAATCTGAGGCTTCTATGTGACAAAGCTTTGCTGTACCTGACCACCAGGTTCTCCCAACATCCCCTCAGTCCCTGCCTGTTACAGGGTATCTCTAGCACACCCTGCCCTCTACACTGAACTCTCCAGCACAGGGGCTTGTTTATCCTTCCTTCAGAGGATCTTTTCTGTATATCCCAGGCATTTGTTGCCCACCTGTACTGTCAGTATTCTAGCTTCTTCAAGTCTTTGCCTTCTGTCTTTTCTCACTTCTACTCCCATTCTCTCCATGTGGCCCAGCTCAGTCCAGTCATGTTCATTGTGGACTCACCCAGATGTCCCTGTCCAATCCTTTACCCATGCTACCCCATATATCTATAATGAAATTTCTCCTACACCATAGCAAAAAGTAGCAAAGTCCTATTATTTCCCCTTTCTTTCTTTCTTTCTTTCTTTCTTTCTTTCTTTCTTTCTTTCTT